TGACATTTGCTGAACCAATACCTCATTTGCTGGTTTTCCTTAGATTAAAATGTTGTAGTCGTTGAGTAAAGGAGAGTAAATTAGGTTTTAAAAAAAGATTTAAATGCCTTTTAAAATAGAACAAGAGTGTTGCTATTTTCACCTCCTGTCCTATTTTCCTACTTACCTTATCTTCAAAATTTTAAAGACAAATTTACCCATTTGTAAAATGATTTCTAAGGACTTACGGATAAATTTACACCATTCTCTTTAAAACATTTATCCATAATATTTTCAAAAGCTAAAAGGCATAGAATAAAAAAAACTAAAAGATTCAGAAAATCAAAATATTATACTAAAATATGTATCCAGTCCATTAAACACAATTTGATCATCTCCATATCTCAACTATTAATGATTAGCAAAGAGAATTTGCTTGAATTAATAATTAAAGGGTATTATTATTCTAGGAATAATGGTGGGTGGGAATAGCAACACTCTAGAACAAACTAAGTTTTATCTAAAATTGATTAGAATTTCAAATGACAAGAAAGGAGGTTATTTGCAGACATGGGCTTGTTGGCTAGAGAGGATGTGCTCTCCACTTTGCATCCGAGTTCAAATTCCCCTTCCAATAGTTTATATTAATTTAATCTAAAAAAAAAGATATAATATCGCTTGTATAAAAATAAAAAAGAAAAATAAAAAAAGAAAAGAAGTCATTTAAAGAGAAAATGTGAAACTTTCAAAAACTCAAACCAGTAAGAGCAACTTCACCCATTTGCCTTTAGCCATGGCAAGTGGGGAGCTAGGGCAGCCACTATTCACGTGAATAGTGGTTGCCCTTGCAAATAGTATTTTGTGTTTCCACCCATTGTTATGGCTAAGGGCAATTACTATTCAATTTTTTGTTTTATTCACAAATTTTTTTACCTCAATAATTAATTTGGATAATATTTTCAGATAAGATTTCCAGGTTCCTACATGTCAAGACTATTCATAATTGGATAAAATTTCTAATAATTAATTTGGATAATATTTTCAGATAAGATTTCCAGGTTCCTACATGTCAAGACTATTCATAATTGGATAAAATTTCTAGATAAGATTTTTGGGTTCAAATTTCGGATGAATTTCACATTTCAGATAAGATTTTCATCCAATCAAATCAAGCCACGTGGCATCTCTATCTTGCAAAAATTTTCTATAAAACCAGAGACACAGCTCATACCTCTCACACCACATCTTTCTATATTTTCATTTCTTAGAGTTTAGAATTCATACTCCATTAATTCTCAATTGAAGAATATAGGAGATGCTTGGAGTGGCAAGAGCGAGAAATAAATTAGGGAAATCGTAGAGCCGATGAAATCAATGAGTTGCAGAGACAAGTCGATGAACAAGTTCTCATAGCAGTGGCTTTGCAAGATGAAGAGAACCAAGGTCGCCGTCGTGGTTCACAAGTCGGCCGTCACCGGAATGTGGAGAGACATATGCATTATCGGGGTAAGAATCTTTTGGAAGATTATTTTATCCCAACTGCTTTGTACTCTGATGTTAATTTTCGAAGACGATTTAGAATGCAACCTCATTTGTTCAATAAAGTCATGCATGATATTTGCAATTATGATGCATACTTTGTTCAAAAGTGTGATGTTGCTGGGGTTTTGGGGCTTCTTTCGGAGCAAAAGCTTACATCTGTTATACGAATGTTGGCGTATGGAGCATCTGCTAATCAGGTGGATGAGATTGCCCGAATGGGGAAGTCCACTACGTTGGAGGCTTTGGTAAGATTTTGTGATGTAGTTGAAAATCTGTATACTAGGGACTACATGCGTAGACCTACTCCCAGGGACCTCCAACGGCTTCTACAAAAAGCCGAAACTCGAGAATTTCCAGGAATTATTGGTAGCATCGACTGCATGCACTGGCAAGGGAAGAATTGCCCAACTGCCTTGCAAGGTGATTCCGAAAATAGAAAAGGCCAAAAAAGTATAATTTTTGAAGCCGTTGCTGGCTTCGACGCATGGGTTTGGCATGCCTTCTTCGGAGTTGCCGGATCCCAAAATGACCTCAACGTGCTGGGTCAATCTCCGGTCTTCAACGATGTTTTGAGAGTCCAAGGCCCAAATATCACCTATCAAGTCAACAATACAGTCTACCAAACGGGGTATTATCTAGCTGACGGCATCTACCTAAGGTGGACCACATTTGTCAAATCCATTCCGAATCCCCGATCCCAGAAGTAAAAATTATTTGCTATCTATCAAGAAGGATACAGGAAAGATGTCGAAAGGTGTTTTGGCATCCTTCAAGCTTGGTGATTGATTATTCGAGGTGCGGCCCATATGTTTGATGAGGAGATTCTCAGAAGCATTATGATGACTTGTATCATCCTCCATAATATGATTGTGGAGAATGAGTACGATTATGATGCTTTAGAGGTCTACGAACCGGATCCAATGAACAAGGCCTTGACTCGAATTTATGAAAGGCCGATGGGGCCAAGTGGAGAACCGTTTGAGCCGGAACCGTTGGTGAGGGACGGTCGTTTCATGACCCGGATGATAGATCGATATATAGAGATGCAATCTTCGTATATTCATGAAAGGCGTCAACTTGACTTGATGGAGCATCTATGGGCGGTGAAAGGCAATGAAGATGAATAATGGAGCATAGATGCTTTGGTTATGTTTTATTTAGTTATGGTTTGGTTGTGTTGTTTTTTATTTATTATGGTTTGGTTGGTTGTGGTTTGTTATTATTATTGTGCCTTGTTTGTAATTTTTTATTTTATTTTAATTATGCTTTGTTTGATGTATGGAATATGTTGAATAAAAAGGTCTTTTATTGAATGCTTTGTTTATTAAATAAAGAAATCCAATACAAGTCATTAAGAATTACTACTAAAATAAAATACATGAAGTACAACAACTTTAATAGAAAACATGAAAAATAAAAATACATAAAAGGTATGCCAACTAATTTAATGGTTTTGATCATTTAACCAATCCGTGTTGCTAGGCCCATCATCCCGGAAAAGTCTTCTTGTCATAACATCCATTCGTTCTAGCTTCCAATATTGTTTTGTTTTAGGGGACATATGGCTTGTATCCATCGCCATGGTTTCCTGATCCGTCTTCTCCATATCTTTTTTGCACAAATACTCCATTTCTCGTGCACACTCGGCTTGAATTGTCACATCCATATCTTGGCGTTTCTGCTCCATTTCAATTCTTACGACGTTCTGCCTTGCAATTTCCTCCAAAAACTTTGAATTATTATTGCTTGAATTACCCGCTTTATTTGCCTTCGCAGCCTTTCGGCCAATGGGCCTCGGCTCCTTTTCGATGGGTGAGTCTTGACTCATAGGGGAATCGAGAGGTGAAGCCGATGTAGTTGAATCACGGAGTGGCGTCTCGTTTAACACAACGGCGGGACACGTGAAAATAATTATGAAGCATTTACAATATTTCACCACCTCCCAACATTCATGATGGTTGAAACTTTTTTTGCCACCCCCGGTTGCACCGAACCACATCTGTGCTTGAATCATCTATTTAATAAAAAAATGGAAATGCAATTAACCTTACAAATAAATTGAAAGTGCAAGAAATATGAAGAAACAATTGGAAATGCAAGAAATATTAACTGCATATTGAAAATGCAAGAAATATTAAGAAACAATTGGAAATGCAAGAAAAATTAACAACATATTGAAAATGCAAAAAATATTAACAAAATATTTAAAATGCAAGAAATATTAACAAAATATTGAAAATGAAATAAATATTAACAACATATATATATATTAGGACATTAAACTTAATAAAACGAAAATTACAAAATACTTACCTCGTTAGTACGATTTTCCCCGCTTCTATAGTTGTCCATCGCTTTTGCCAAGACATCTCTCCATTTCCCCAACTCTTTATTGAGAATTTTACACCTACTCGACAATGTCATTTCCGTACGAGTCGACCCCGGAATTTTTTCGCAAAATTCGGCATGAATTTTTTTTCCACATATGAAAAAATTTCATCTCATTACCTGTCACAGGACAATGACAAACTTGGAGCCAAGCCTCACACAAAGAAACATCTTCTATGGTGCTTCATGCCCCTCTGGTTTCGATAGAAAAAGCCATAAAAATAAGAAATAAAAATACAAGGTGAAAGAGAGGAAAATGTTGAGTAAAGAGTGAATAAAATGTTGAGTAATAGTAGAAGTAGAATAAAATGTATGAGGATTGGTGTTGAAAGTAAAGGGTATTGATAGGTCTTGATTAAAAAAAAATCAGAATTTTGTAGTATTTTTTTAAAAAAATTTCGATTTTTTTCATAATTTTATTGCATGAAAAACACCAGCCGTTGGATGAGGATTGGAGAAGCAAATCGAAGCGCTGTGGGCGTGACATGTGGCCTCCAACCCATGACTTGGACCTCGGGCTGAACTGGCCTTCGGGTCAGACCGAGTTCGTAGGACCCACCCCTTGCTCGGGCCTGGGCTCACCGCTGGAAACTCCTTTTTTTTCTCCCCCTTTCCTTAGCATTGGGCTCAGCTCCTTGCTGGAGTTGCTCTATAAAGCTTATCTTTTAGATAAAATTACAAGAAAGTACGAAATTATAATCCCACATACTATTTTATTAAAATAGTAAAGAGCATGCCCTTTTTGTTTTATTTATTTATTGTTTTAATAAAATAAAATAAAAAATAAAAAATAAAAAATTTGTATTAACAAAAATGGCATCCACCAGACAGTTCGCATCCTTATCCATTTTTGTCCGAACTCTACACCTAAAAACCCATTTAATTCTGTTCAAAATTCGGATATGCTCTCTCCCTCCTCACTTTTGCAGTGTTGATCACGACTCATCAACTTCAAACTAACAAATCCAACGGTTCAGAATCAGTACTTCACCATCTGATCCTTTTACCGTACTCCGCGAAGCAGAGGATAACTAATCAAATGTTACAATTATAAGAACAAAGATAGCGTGAAGCCTAAAGCAATTATTCAGAAAATTGAAATCTCAACTGTTTGGTTTCCTTCACTTCCTTTTCCATTTGATTTTCCCCCACTTTTTCTCTCCCTCCAAACAGCTACGGAGTTTCTGTCGAGCTTCGAGTGAAATGGAGATGGCTATGGAGGACTCATGCTCTCGTTCGCTTCTCTTCATGGCTCGTTACGCTCTGCAATCTGACGGACGAGCGCCGCGGTTTCTAAAGAATCCTATACAGAGTACGCTACGAATAAGTAATTTTCCGGTTTTCTGTGCTAATTTCTAGATTTACATAGTTTTAGAGTTGTTATTGTCGTCTTCAATTGCTCTTTTTGTACCTGAATTTGAAGAATTGGAAACGGAAGCTCTAGGTTACGGTGAATTTAGGAGAACTTGTGTTTTGGATTCTAGTCGATTTTGGAAGTTCTGTGGTGTTTATGAAGAACGGTGGTTCATGTATAAATTCTAGGGTTCGGGAAATTCTCGTGGAGTTGAGCTTCTTAGGTTTTCACATGCTTGGTAAATTGTCTGTGGCTTGAATATCTCTTGAAACAACACAAGTGAAGTTTGACTTTCAGCTCGTGTTATTGAAAGAAGTAGAGGGACATTTGAAGTTGAACTTGATTTTTGGTGGGAAGCTTTAATGGCGGAAAGGTGGGAGCTCGGGTTTCCAAAGACTAGTGCTAGTAGTCTTAGAGAGCAGGCAACAAGAACAATTCTTCGCAATGTGAGGTCGCAAGGGCACACATATGTTGAGCTCCGAGAAGATGGGAAAAAGTTCATTTTCTTCTGTACTTTGTGTCTGGCTCCATGTTATAGTGATAAGGTGCTGTTTGATCACTTGAAGGGTAATCTTCACAAGGACAGGTTAGCTGCTGCTAAGGTTACTCTGTTGCGACCAAACCCGTGGCCTTTTAACGATGGTGTGGCTTTCTTTCATAATCCAGATGAGACTGATAAGCATTTGGTGATTACAGATGACAATAAATTTAGGATGTTGGAGTCTCCTGACGATGAAAACAATCTTGCTATTGTCAAGTATGGGGAAAATCTGATATCCAATGGCAATGAGCATGTTGGTACTGATGGTCTTGACTGTAATGGCTCTTTAGATTTTCCGAGGGTTCGTTCAAATTTCAAATTTAGTTGCTCTAATGAGAATTCAACTGCTAATGAAGTGAATTCCTCTGTAGTGATCCCTAGTGTTCTGGTTAGGGATGATGTTACTGACATAGAAGCGAAGAAGGTAGGCTTGGGACAAATTGCTGCAAGATTCCTTGAGAAGGATAAGGTGTCAAAAGGTATTGGTAGAATATGGTGTGAATGGTTGGGGAAAAAAGCTATTGGCAACGAGTATCATTTAAAAGTTCCTGAGCACGACTTCGCTGTTGTTACCTTCTGTTACAATATTGATTTAGGTAGAAAGGGGTTGCTTGATGATGTAAAGATGCTTCTCTCTTCCAGTCCTTCGGTAGAAACAGAAAATGGTGAAGGCAGCAGCAGTAAGAGAAAGAAGTCCTTTTCTGACCCTGAGGATATCAGTGAATCTCTAAGTAATCAGTATGATTCATGTGGGGAAGATTCCTCTGCATCCAGTGGTGCATCATCAAAGTTGCTTTTAGACCGGTACGACGATCAGCTTCTGCACACAAGATTTATTTTAAACAAGTCTATAAGAAGAGAGTTGAGGCGGCAACAGCGTTTAGCTCTAGGGAGAATGTGTGATATATGTCAACAGAGGATGATTCCTGGGAAAGATGTATCAGCCCTCATAAATTTGAAGACTGGAAGGCTTGCTTGCAGTAGTCGAAATGTGAATGGGGTGAGAATCCGAAATAACTTTCATCATACCCTTCCTTCCCTCCCCCACATTCTGGAACTCCATCTTCTTAATTTTGCAATGTATGCATTCAATTCTGCATTTGGGTGTGGTACTCTAAACTTTTAATGTAGTTCTTATAATTTTATTTTGTTCACATGCAGGCTTTTCATGTGTTTCATACTTCCTGCCTTATACACTGGATACTTCTGTGTGAGGTTGAGATTGCAAATCAGTCCACTAATTCAAAAGTGAGAAGAAGATCTAGGAGAAAAAATGCAGCCAAGTGCAATGGACAAGATGGTCAGATGAAAGCTTTGAGCACGCAAATCCATTCTGTATTCTGCCCAGAGTGTCAGGGTACTGGTGCAATCATTGATGGAGATGACCTGGAGAAACCAAATCTCCCTCTGTCTCAGGTTTGAACTTTGCAGGACAATTTCTTAATTGAATCGTTGTCTTTTTATTTATACATTTCCTTGCCTTTTTTTTTGTGTTGACTGAAGTAGTGGTTTCCCAATTTGGGAGAAAAACAATGAAGCACACGTTTTTATTATCAATTTTTGGCAAGCCAAGTAGAGTTATTAGGTTTTCATGATTGCTAGAGCATGCTTATGATGAGTCAAGAGCTTTGAAAGGAAATCTTTTCAGAAAACTATCTTCTGATATCACAGAGAGGTATAGGCTGGGAAGAAAGAAACCTTAGCAATATGCTATCTCTAAACCTTAGATTCTTTGTTAATATCGCAGATGTTCAAGTATAAGATAAAGGTGAGTGATGCACGTAGAGCATGGATGAAGAGTCCTGAAATGTTGGAGAATTGCTCGACAGGTTTTCATTTCCCTTCCCAATACGAAGAAGGAATCCAAGTTTCTGTAGGTTTCTCCACCAGATTTCCTTTTTAATTGAGGATAACAATCAATGATCATAACAAACTCAAGTTTGCCTTTGTGATTTTGATGCTAGGAAAAGGTGAAACCATTAAAGTTGCTGCATTTCTACAGAGCAGATTAATAGAGTTGGCTTCAAGAACAGTGGGAACCATGCGGTCGGTTGTTTTAGCTTCTCACCATAGCATGTATGTTTCACTTCTAACATGCACCTTCTTGTTGTATATGACTGGCTCATGAGTAGGACTTTGGAGTGGACAGGCGTAGGTTGTATGGAGCTGTTAGCTTTTGTGGATAGTTTGGATTAGTTTGCTTGATGAGATATATTTGTACATACCTGTTGCTGACACAGGTACATATATGTTGTATACATTGCTGATATATGTCTGCATAATGCAATTATTTATGTATAAACGAATGATATATGTTGAATACATTGCTCGTATGTTGAGGCCAAAGATGCTTGCTTGGAGGACACAATTGCCTTTTAATATTTTTTGTTTTTGTTTATATATACATCTTCCCATGACCATATTTCAAAAACTCAATAAAACTACTACAATCTCCATTGCCCACATGAATCTTTAAGCGGGGACAATTCCCAAACTCCACGAGCTCCCCATGACCATAATGAATTGCCAAAGCGGAGCAACCAATTCTATCTGCATTTACCAGATTGATTCCAACCTTACCAAAAAATGTGTTTAGACTGTCTAATTACTCTCTGTCATCCTTTTGTTATTTAGATATCCCAGTGGATGACAGATCGCAGGTATTTTGATTTATCGCCAGTTTGCTTAATCTGAATGACGAAAGATTCTACCATTTGCTTCATTTCAAACAAAAGCAAATACAAAGACAGTAAATCAAAACTGCAAACTGGAAGCTGGCAGTAAAACACAACTGTAAGCAAAAACACACCATCAATTGGCTTTATTTCAAACACAAGCAAATACAAACAGAGTTTCCGACTTTACAGGAGGACAGTGCAAACTGGAAGCTGGCTGGCTTACTGCTGCGGCGTCTTGTAAGAAATAATGGAGAAAATTGTTTGTATCAAGGTCAATACTGTAACTAAGACGACAGCAGTCGCAAAATTCACCAATGCCAACGGTTCTTTAAAATACGTACGTAATACTCCTTTATACAGGTTCCATCCATTCCGACAATACTTTTCCACTTGCCCATAGAGGTTCAGGTAACAACAATTGCGCGGCCTAACATCATTGGAAAGACTACTAAAAATCAAGGATATGTCGTGGCCCAAAACGTTTTCTATAATTCCACGCCCAGCGAGATACTCTACATCTTTGTCAGACGTAATAAGTTGCTCCAACAACGCAGCATAAGAGGTAATTATACTGGCTGTTTCACACTGTTCATACGCGACGAGATTTCTAAACAGAGATTCTCCATTCTTATGAACTCTTATCCGTGGAATTCTCATCACTCCATTTTGGAAGCTTATATTGAACATGCCCTCTCCAATTCCACGTTTAAATAAAACTCCTGCCTTTACAAGCTCTGTCACAGAGGGCATACGCAAAGAAGAAGTCTGATCTAAGTGCTCTTCAAATTCAAACTCTAGTTGTGCACGTGATGGGAGCAAAGAGATTTTTACCAAGTCAAGCAAATGCTTGCCTTTCAATTCTTCACCGACCTCTTGGCGCATCCCCAAGGTGTACCCTTCAAAGTATTTTAGACTAAGCTCGGAAAGTGAATACTTCTTACCTGCATTACTTTCCCGTGTGAGGTTAAACAAACACTCAATAACTCTCCAAGGGAGCTGGTTTTCAAGTAGAAGCAAGTCATTTATGAGGATCGAGTGCATCCATGGCCGATGGAACACAGGATCGTCGTTCTCGATTGGCACCAGTCGTGAATACTTGCGGAAGAGCTCAATGATAAAGCAACCATCGACCACCATCATTTCTACAAAGTCACCACTGGTTAGATCAATATTTTCTTCATAGCAATTGCGACAATCTTGTTCCATATCTCTAATGGCTCCGACAAAATCCTCTAAGACAGTAGTTGGAGTTGGTTTTCGCTCAAGAAGGCAATGCAAATACCAAGGTTTAATCGCTTCCATGGCTTGGGACTGCAATCCACGCTGAAATGGTCCAATTGAAAGCAAATGTGGAACATACACTTCTTCTTTATCCTTAAGCAGCACATGAGAGATTCTAAATATGCAATGATGAGCTCGTGATGGAGACTGCTGGTGAAGTTTTGCTTGAATTGAGGATGCTAATCTTTTATTTTCCTTTCTCACATTATTCGCAGCCATCCTAGTAAGGGAAAATGGAAATTGTTACAACCCAAATGTAATAAAACTTGTTTGAAACACTAAGGCTTAGTTTGATATTGTTGTGCTTTTATAAAAAACTGCTTCCGTTGTGCTGCGAGAATAAACAGTTGTGAAGTGAAGTAGTTAAGTGTTTGGTAATTTATATTTGTAAAAGTATTGTGAGTATAAAAAGTAGTGTTATTAGTGTTTGGTAGAATTGCTGTGACAGTGTATAATGACAATAAAAGGCATGATAATGAATGTTTTTTAAAGACTAAAATTATCATTAAAATAAAAATGTATAGTTTTTCTTTCTTTCTTTCTTCCTCTTCCATCCTCTCTTTTCTTCTCCTTCGCAGCCCCGTTTCTTTCTTCCTCTTCTATCCTTTCTCTTTTCTTCCTCCTCTTCTTAATTTTGATTTCGCTCTCTCTCTAGTTCTCTATCCTTGTCTCTCTCTCCCTCCCGAACTCTCTGTATTTTCCCCATCAAAGTCGCAGATCTTCATCCCTTCAAAGTCGCAGATTTTATGGGTCTGTAAAATAGGGAGCTAGTTTTGGGTTGAGATGGTAGCTTTGAGGGATTGAGGAAGGCAAACAAGTTGCAGAGAGAGAACAACTCTAGAAAATCCAAGAGGAACGACACTTGGGAGGCTCGAACCAGGGATGACTAGAATAGAGCGTGTAATTATTTGACACTTGGGAGGCTCGAAGCAGGGATGACTAGAATAGAGCGTGTAATTATTTGAAACAAATAAGGTCAATATGGGCAATTTGAAGTTTCATTAAACTCCTCCGCATGCTTCTCTGCGCAGCAGATTTTAGAAACACGTTGGGAGCTGCTTTGTGTTTTTGTCTGCGGATGGCAGCAGATTTTAAAATAAGCAGCTTGGATTGGTTTTACCAAACGCTCAAATCTAAAGAACTTCTTCTCAAAGCTGCTTATTTTTTAGGCGCAGCAACCCCAAACCAAGCCCAACTCTATTATTCCTTTTTTTTGGTCGTCAACGTAAACTATATTTCAAAGAGTGCACAACACCACAGGCACAGCACCCGCAGCATAGCAGCAACACCACCCACAGTGGGCTTTAGGTAACGCTGTTTAGACACTACTTTTTAGCTACTTTTTCAGGAAAGAAACCCCTTGGGTTTCGAAACTGGGTGCCATGGTCGGAGGGGGAATCCACCACCACTGTGGTGGATATTGGGATCTTTGCTAGAACGCCAGTTACAGTTTTTTAAAATTTGTATCAACAAATCGGATGTATTTACAAAGTAAATTGGTTTCAAGAATAAATTAATGCAAGTTCTTGCATGGATAGAGATGAAGATTAAGAGGTAGCTTACACTTCTGATTCACTTCTGGTGAGAGGTAGCTTGCACACTTCTGATTCACTTTTGATGCAATAGTTCTCCTTACAGACTCTTGCTTGGAAATTTTACAACAATATCTATCTCAATATCTCATAGAACAATATCACAAGATTCTTGCTCAGCCATCTTATAATGTGAAAATGAAATGAACATACATTTTTTTTTTTATTACACTGGAGGAAGGAAACTCATGAGGTTTCGAATCTGGGTCCATGGTGAGGGGAATCTTTTTTTATTACATTGGAGGAAAGAAACTCATGAAGTTTCGAATCTGGGTACCATGGGGAGGGGAATCCACCACCAGTGTGGTGGGAACCCATTGGCATACATCTTTAGTTCAATATATTCCAAGTCTTTTATTTTTATTTTTAAGGGAATACTAGTGATTTGCCCGGAATTTGTACCAAATTTTCGATTTACTCCCTATCCTTTTTTCTGTTCAGAAAATTAAGGATATGAACTTTATTTTCATTGAAATAATACTCCTCTCTCTCTCTCTCTCTCTCTCTCTGTGAGAATCGCGGGCATTGATGGAAAAGGAGGTTTTCCTGCTCTAAGACTTTGAAACTTCAATTTCTGTTTAATGGGTTTGGGGTTTGGAGGACTAGTTCATGTAGTAGTGGAAATTTAGCTGGAAAGCTTTCACCTTGGGTTGGAAAGCTCACTGAACTTAGAGTTCTTATAATTTGGTTGTGTTACTCTAAACTTTTAAAGTAGTTCTTATAATTTTATTTTGTTCACATGCAGGCTTTTCATGTGTTTCATACTTCCTGCCTTATATACAGGATACTTCTCTGTGAGGTTGAGATTGCAAATCAGTCCACTAGTTCAAAAGTGAGAAGAAGATCTAGGAGAAAAAATGCAGCCAAGTGCAATGGACAAGATGGTCAGATGAAAGCTTTGAGCACTCAAATCCATTCTGTATTCTGCCCAGAGTGCCAGGGTACTGGTGCAATCATTGATGGAGATGACCTGGAGAAACCAAATCTCCCTCTGTCTCAGGTTTGTACTTTGCAGGACAATTTCTTAATTGAATCGTTGTCTTATTATTTATACATTTCCTTGCCTTTTTTTATTTTTCCTTATTGGCCTTTTGTGTTGACTGAAGTAGTGGTTTCCCAATTTGGGAGAAAAACATCAAGCACACGTTTTTATTATCAATTTTTGGCAAGCCAAGTAGAGTTATTAGTTTTTCATGATTGTGATAGAGCATGCTTATGATGAGTCAAGAGCTTTGAAGGGAAATCTTTTCAGAAAATTATCATCTGATTTCATAGAGAGGTATAGGCTAGGAAGAAAGAAACCTCAGCAATATGCTATCTCTAAACCTTAGATTCTTTGTTAATATCACAGATGTTCAAGTATAAGATAAAGGTGAGTGATGCACGTAGAGCATGGACGAAGAGTCCTGAAATGCTGGAGAATTGCTCGACAGGTTTTCATTTCCTTTTTAATTAAGGATAACAATGATCATAACAAACTCAAGTTTGCCTTTGTGATTTTGATGCTTGGAAAGGGTGAAACCATTAAAGTTGCTGCATTTCTACAGAGCAGATTAATAGAGTTGGCTTCAAGAACAGTGGGAACCATGCGGTCGGTTGTTTTAGCTTCTCACCGTAGCATGTATGTACTTCTAACGTGCACCTTCTTGTTGTATATGACTGGCTCATGAGTAGGACTTTGGAGTGGACAGGCGTAGGTTGTATGGGGCTGTTAGCTTTTGTGGATAGTTTGCTTGATGAGATATATTTGTACATACCTGTTGCTAACACAGGTACATATATGTTGTATACATTGCTTCTATATGTCTGCATAATGCAATTATTTATGTATAAATGAATGATATATGTTGAATACATTGCTCGTATGTTGAGGCCAAAGATGCTTGCTTGGAGGACACCATTGTCTTTTAATATTTTTTGTTTTTGTTTATGTATACATCTTATCTTCCCACATGAATCTTTAAGCGGGGACAATTCCCAAACTCCACGAGCTCCCCATGACCATAATGAATTGCCAAAGCGGAGCACCAATTCTATCTGCATTTACCAGATTGATTCCAACCTTACCAAAAAATGTGTTTAGACTGTCTAATTACTCTGTGCCATCCTTTTGTTATTCAGATATCCCAGTGGATGACAGATCGCAGGTATTTTGATTTATCGCCAATTTGCTTAATCTGAATGACGAAAGATTCTACAATTGGCTTCATTTCAAACAAAAGCAAATGCAAAGCAGAGATTCCGACTTCAAAGACAGTAAATCAAAACTGCAAACTGGAAGCTGGCAGTAAAACACAACTGTAAGCAAAAACACACCATCAATTGGCTTTATTTCAAACACAAGCAAATACAAACAGAGTTTCCAACTTTACAGGAGGACAGTGCAAACTGGAAGCTGGCTGGCTTACTGCTGCGGCGTCTTGTAAGACATAATGGAGAAAATTGTTTGTATCAAGGTCAATATTGTAACTAAGACGACAGCAGTCGCAAAATTCACCAATGCCAACGGTTCTTTAAAATATGTACGTAACACTGCTTTATAGCGGTTCAATCGAAACTTACAATAGTCGTTCACATCCTCATAGAGGTTCTGGTAACAACAATTGGGCGGCCTAACATCATTGGAAAGACTACTAAAAATCAAGGATATGTCGTGGCCCAAAACGTTTTCTATAATTCCATGCCCAGCGAGATACTCTACATCTTTGTCAGACGTAATAAGTTGCTCCAACAACACAGCATAAGAGGTAATTATACTGGCTGTTTCACACTGTTCATACGCGACGAGATTTCTAAACAGAGACTCTCCATTCTTATGAACTCTTATCGGTGGAATACTCATCACTCCAGATTTGAAGGTTATATTGAACATGTCTGGTCCAGTTCCACGTATAAATATAATTCCTGACTTTTCAAGTTCCGTCACAGAGGGCATACGCAAAGAAGAAGTCCGATCTAAGTGCGTTTCAGATACAAACTCTAGTTGTGCAAATAGGAGCAAAGAGTTTTTAACCAAGTCAAGCAAATGCTTGCCTTTTAATGCTCCGCGGACCAGTTGGCACATCCCCAAGGTGTACCCTTCAAAGTATTTTAGAGTAAGCTCGGAAAGTGAATACTTCTTACCTGCATTACTTTCCCGTGTGAGGTTAAACAAACATTCAATAACTCTCCAAGGGAGCTGGTTTTCAAGTAGAAGCAAGTCATTTATGAGGATCGAGTGCATCCATGGCCTATGGAACACAGGATCGTTGTTCTCGATTGGCACCTTTCCTGAAAACTTGCGGAAGAGCTCAATGATAAAGCAACCATCGACCACCATCATTTCTACAAACTCATCACTAGTTAGATCAATATTTTCTTCATAGCAATCGCGATAATCTTGTTCCATATCTCTAATGGCTCCGACAAAATCCTCTAAGACAGTAGTTGGAGTTGGTTTTCGCTCAAGAAGGCAATGCAAATACCAAGATTTAATCACTTCCATGGCTTGGAACTGCAATCCACGCTGAAATGGTCCAATTGAAAGTAAATGTGGAACATACACTTCTTTTTTACCCTTAACCAGCACATGAGGCATTCTAAATATGCAATGATCAGCTCGTGATGGGGACTGCTGGTGAAGTTTTGCTTGAATTGAGGATGCTAATATTTCATTTTCATTTCTCACATTATCCGCAGCCATCCTAGTAAGGGAAAATGGAAATTGTTACAACCCAAATGTAATAAAACTTGTTTGAAACACTAACTCTCAGACCTAAAAAAAAAAAAAAAAGACACTTACTCCGGTTAATCGTTTTATTAGTCTCTGGATTTAGACTCGATTTGCATTTGAGTCCCTCAATTTCCAAAATCGTTCCTGTGGTCCTTCAACTTCAGTTTCATTAAGACAAATGGTCATGCCGTCAATTTTGTTAACCTTTTTGTTAAATGCAAGGGCAAAATGGTATTTTTGTATTAAATTGATTAAAATATGAATAAAAAATTTAAAAACTAAAAATTAAAAATTAAACTCTCTCTCTCTCTCTCCCTCTCTATCCCGATTTGTACTCCCCCCAAACTTGTCTTCTTTTTTTTGTTGATTTTCTATTGTTATTTTAAAGATATGATTTTTATTCAATTTTTTGGGTTTAACATAAAAATACCATTTTGCCCTTGCATTTAACAGAAAAAGTTAACAAAATTGATGGTATGACCATTTGTCCTAACGAAAATGAAGTTAAAGGACCACGGGAACGATTTTGAAAATTTAGGGACTCAAATACAAATCGGGTCTAGGACTAATAAAACGATTAACCCCACTAACTCTAATGTGTTTTATTTATTTATTTTTGGGGACGGATTTGTGGCACTATATTTTTTACACAAGTTTTGACACAATTTTTGGGCCATTAGATTACTCTACTATTAATGGTTGAGATTAAATCTGACATGACAAATAGTTTTAATGTTTTAAATAAACAACCATTAATTTTATTTTCTCTCTCGTAAAAATAAAATAAAATAATTTTATCTCTCCTCCCTTTTTTCTTGGAAAAGTAATCTCTTTTCTTAGTAGTATCATTTTTTACTATTCTCTACTCCATTTTTATTCCATTTTCATTTTTCTTAAAACTAATGCGTTTTGTTTTGTTATTTATGATTATATTGATATGACCTGAAATCTTCACTGTTCGGTTTGTTTTCTTAAAGAATTTCAGGTTTTACAAACGGAGATTTTTATTCCATTTTCATTTTTCTTAAAACTAAGACATTTTGTTTTGTTATTTATGATTATATTGATATGACCTGAAATCTTCACTGTTCGGTTTGTTTTCTTAAAGAATTTCAGGTTTTACAAACGGAGATTTTTATTCCATTTTCATTTTTCTTAAAACTAAGACATTTTGTTTTGTTATTTATGATTATATTGATATGACCTGAAATCTTCACTGTTCGGTTTGTTTTCTTAAAGAATTTCAGGTTTTACAAACAGAGAAAATAAAATATTTGGAAACGTAATCTCTTTACTTGGTAACAGTTTTGTTGTAATGGAGTGGAAAATTCATACGGTTGGTTTGCAGTTACTGGAGAAAGAGAGAGAGAGGGAAAAAAGATGGAGGTTTTTTTTTTTTTCTGATCCCAAGAAAGAGAGAGAGAGAGGTATATACCAAGTAAAAAAGGATACTACCAAGGAAAGAGATTATGTTTCTTTCCAAGAAAAAAGGGAGGAGAGAGAAAATTATTTTATTTTATTTTTATGAGAGAGAAAATAAAATTAATTATTGTTTATTTAAAACATTAAAACTATTTGTCATGTCAGATTTAATCTCAATAATTAAAAGTAGAGTAATCTAATGGCCCAAAACTTATGTCAAAAATATGGTGCCACGGATCCGCCCCATTTATTTATTTATTTATTCTGCCAAAGTAACTATATTTCAAAGAGTGCACAGCGGCCACAGCACCCGCAGCACAACAGCAACACCACCCACAGTGGGCCTTAGGTAACGCTGTTTTGACACTACTTTTTAGCTACAGAATTGGGATCTTTTTTATGTCAAGAAAGAAACCTCTTGGGTTTCGAACTTGGGTGCAATGGGGGGAGGGGGAATCCACCACCATTGTGGTGGATACTGGGATCTTTGCTAGAACGCCAGTTACAGTTTTTTAAGTATAAATTAATGCTCCATTGTGGTGGATACTGGGATCTTTGCTAGAACGCCAGTTATAGTTTTTTAAGTATAAATTAATGCTAGTTCTTGAATGGATAGAGATGAAGACTGAGAGATAACTTACACTTCTGATTCACTTACGGTGAGAGGTAGCTTGCACACTTGTGATTCACTTTTGAGGCAATCGTTCTCCTATCAATATTGTTAAAATGAGAGTGTGAGAAGAAAGGTTTTTGGTTTCAATTGAATTGATTTCTTTGTATCACTTACAGCAGACTTTATACAAGGAAAAGGCTCGCTAACGAAGCTCAATATTAATTACAAGTAGGTAGATGACAGCTGGTTTTGGGTTCCCAATTCCTGGAGAATGCAGAAACAGCCTCCCAAAGTCAAGCCAGACATTAATATTTTCACTCACTAGCTAACAGTCAACTAGCTAACACCCAACTTGCCATATTAGGTTTGACCTAAAAAAAAAAAAAAAAAACTAGCCACACACATGCAATACAACGGCAATAAATTCAATGGATAAGCCCACACCACAGTGAAGGATAAAAGCCCCAAGGTATGATAGCGTGTTCTCTAATATGCAGTCAATCCGTATTACAAATTGAGCTTTTGTTGTTAGACGTTGAAACTTTCCCTGTGAATTATTAATTAACTGGGAATATGAATTTCTGTCTCTCAACATTCTCATTCTTTTGATAAATATAGTGCCTCTCTTATCTTTTCTAAAGTGGACGAGTACAGATTTATACTTTTCTTGTTTCTCAAATATCTTTTGGCTTGTACCTCTGACAACTAGCTAACACTCACTAGCTAATAACTTTCATCATCCTCATTTTCATCATACCCTTCCCTCCCTCCCTCCCTCCCCCGCGTTCTGGAACTCCATTTTCTTAATTTTGCAATGTATGCATTCAATTCTGCATTTGGGTGTGTTACTCTAGACTTTTAAACTAGTTCTTATAATTTTATTTTGTTCACATGCAGGCTTTTCATGTGTTTCATACTTCCTGCCTTATACACTGGATACTTCTGTGTGAGGTTGAGATTGCAAATCAGTCCACTAATTCAAAAGTGAGAAGAAGATCTAGGAGAAAAAATGCAGCCAAGTGCAATGGACAAGATGGTCAGATGAAAGCTTTGAGCACGCAAATCCATTCTGTATTCTGCCCAGAGTGTCAGGGTACTGGTGCAATCATTGATGGAGATGACCTGGAGAAACCAAATCTCCCTTTGTCTCAGGTTTACAATTTCTTAATTGAATCGTTGTCTTATTATTTATACATTTCCTTGCCTTTTTTCCTTTTCCTTATTGGCCTTTTGTGTTGACTTAAGTAGTGGTTTCCCAATTTGGGAGAAAAACAATCAAGCACACGTTTTTATTATCAATTTTTGGCAAGCCAAGTAGAGTTATTAGTTTTTCATGATTGTGATAGAGCATGCTTATGATGAGTCAAGAGCTTTGAAAGGAAATCTTTTCAGAAAACTATCTTCTGATATCACAGAGAGGTATAGGCTGGGAAGAAAGAAACCTTAGCAATATGCTATCTCTAAACCTTAGATTCTTTGTTAATATCGCAGATGTTCAAGTATAAGATAAAGGTGAGTGATGCACGTAGAGCGTGGATGAAGAGTCCTGAAATGTTGGAGAATTGCTCGACAGGTTTTCATTTCCCTTCCCAATACGAAGAAGGAATCCAAGTTTCTGTAGGTTTCTCCACCAGATTTCCTTGTTAATTGAGGATAACACTGATGATAACAAACTCAAGTTTGCCTTTGTGATTTTGATGCTAGGAAAAGGTGAAACCATTAAAGTTGCTGCATTTCTACAGAGCAGATTAATAGAGTTGGCTTCAAGAACAGTGGGAACCATGCGGTCGGTTGTTTTAGCTTCTCACCATAGCATGTATGTTTCACTTCTAACATGCACCTTCTTGTTGTATATGACTGGCTCATGAGTAGGACTTTGGAGTGGACAGGCGTAGGTTGTATGGAGCTGTTAGCTTTTGTGGATAGTTTGGATTAGTTTGCTTGATGAGATATATTTGTACATACCTGTTGCTAACACAGGTACATATATGTTGTATACATTGCTTATATATGTCTGCATAATGCAATTATTTATGTAAAAATGAATGATATTTGTTGTATACATTGCTCGTATGTTGAGGCCAAAGATGCTTGCTTGGAGGACACAATTGTCTTTTAATATTTGTTGTTTTTGTTTATATATACATCTTCCCATGACCATATTTCAAAAACTCAATAAAACTACTACAATCTCCATTGCCAACTTGAATCTTTAAGCGTGGACAATTCCCAAACTCCACTTGAATTGCCAAAGCAGAGCACCAATTCTATTAGCACTATTATTTCATCATGTAGGGCTTGTAGTTCAAGTGGTTAATAGCATTTACTCATGCACTCGAAGTCCTAGGTTCGATTTCCCCATTCTCCAATATCGCTTGTATAGGGCTTTGATTTCCCCATTCTCCAATATCGTTTGTATATGGGGAAAAAAAAAATCGTACATGCATATCCAATATTAGTCTGAAATTTAAATGTTTTAACTGTTAACCATGTTAGAAGCACAAGATTCAAGCCTTACTCTTTTTAACATCTCTTGCTTTGAATTAACCAATATGCTGGTTCTCGTGGTTTGAAGTTGGTGAACTGGGGATGCAAATGATGGATTGCAGCACTCCCAAATAACACCAGTCACCTGCAAATCTTTTCTAGCAAATTGTTATTGGCACTCTGAAAAAAAATCATAATGTACTGCTCTTGTGTCAGAACATGTGGAAAAAATTCCACCGCAAGGAGTGTAGGATGACTATTTTGGAGTGCCAATAACATATCCTTTTTTTTATATGTTGATATGCTGGATTTTATTTGTTTGAATTCATCTCATTGTTGGTATGGCCTGTGTCTCATGGTGAGTGATTGTTGTTGTGAACTGTAATTAGATGATTCCAACCTTACCAAAAATGTGTTTAGACTGTCTAATTACTCTCTGTCATCCTTTTGTTATTTAGATATCCCAGTGGATGACAGATCGCAGGTATTTTGATTTGTCGCCAACTTGCTTAATTTGAATGACGAAAGATTCTACAATTGGCTTCATTTCAAACAAAAGCAAATACAAAGCAGAGATTCCGACTTCAAAGACAGTAAATCAAAACTGCAAACTGGAAGCTGGCAGTAAAACACAACTGTAAGCAAAAACACACAATCAATTGGCTTTATTTCAAACACAAGCAAATACAAACAGAGTTTCCAACTTTACAGGAGGACAGTGCAGACTGGAAGCTGGCTGGCTTACTGCTGCGGCTTCTCGTAAGACAGAATGGAGTAAACTGTTTGTATCAAGGTCAATATTGTAACTAAGACGACAGCAGTCGCAAAATTCACCAATTCCAACGGATTTTTAAAATATGTTCGTAACATTCGTTTATGGCGGTTCCATGGAAACCCACAATACTCGTTCACATCACAATAGAGTCTCCGGTAACAACAATTGGGCGGCCTAACATCATTGGAAAGACTTCTAAAAATCAAGGATATGTCGTAGCCCAAAACGTTTTCTATAATTCCACACTTAGCGAGATACTCTACATCTTTGTCGGACGTAATAAGTTGCTCCAACAACACGGCATAAGAGGTAATTATACTGGCTGTTTCACACTGTTCATACGCGACGAGATTTCTAAACAGAGATTCTCCATTCTTATGAACTCTTATCGGTGGAATTTTCATCACTCCATGTTGGAAGCTTATATTGAACATGCCCTCTCCAATTCCACGTTTAAATAAAACTCCTGACTCTACAAGCTCTGTCACAGAGGGCATACGCAAAGAAAAAGTCTGATCTAAGTGCTCTTCAAATTCAAACAATGGTTGTGCACATGATGGGAGCAAAGAGATTTTTACCAAGTCAAGCAAATGCTTGCCTTTCAATTCTTCACCGACCTGTTGGCGCATCCCCAAGGTGTACCCTTCAAAGTATTTTAGAGTAAGCTCGGAAAGTGAATACTTCTTACCTGCATTACGTTCCCGTGTGAGGTTAAACAAACATTCAATAACTCTCCAAGGGAGCTGGTTTTCAAGTAGAAGCAAGTCATTTATGAGGATCGAGTGCATCCATGGCCTATGGAACACAGGATCGTCGTTCTTGATTGGCACCAGTCGTGAAAACTTGTGGAAGAGCTCAATGATAAAGCAACCATCGACCACCATCATTTCTACAAACTCATCACTGGTTAGATCAATATTTTCTTCATAGCAATCGCGACAATCTTGTTCCATATCTCTAATGGCTCCGACAAAATCCTCTAAGACAGTAGTTGGAGTTGTTTTTCGCTCAAGAAGGCAATGCAAAGACCAAGATTTAATCACTTCCATGGTTTGGAACTGCAATCCACGCTGAAATGGTCCAATTGAAAGTAAATGTGGAACATACACTTCTTTTTTACCCTTAACCAGCACATGAGGGATTCTAAATATGCAATGATCAGCTCGTGATGGGGACTGCTGGTGAAGTTTTGCTTGAATTGAGGATGCTAATATTTCATTTTCATTTCTCACATTATTCGCAGCCATCCTAGTAAGGGAAAATGGAAATTGTTACAACCCAAATGTAATAAAACTTGTTTGAAACACCAACTCTCAGACCTTTAAAAAAAAAAAAAAAACACCAACTCGGATTAATCGTTTCATTTGTCCTAAAGAAAGTGAAGTTAAAGAACCACGGGAACGATTTTGGAAATTTAGGGACTCAAATGCAAATTGGGTCTAAGTTCAAGGACTAATAAAACGATTAACCCCACTAACTCTAATGTATTTTATTTATTTATTTTTCCGTCAAAGTAACTATATTTCAAAGAGTGCACAGCGGCCACAGCACCTGCAGCACAACAGCAACACCACCCACAGTGGGCTTTAGGTAACGCTGTTTTGACACTACTTTTTAGCTACAGAATTGGGATCTTTTTTTTGTCAAGCAAGAAACCTCTTGGGTTTCGAACTTGGGTGCCATGGGGGGAGGGGGAATCCACCACCATTGTGGTGGATATTGGGATCTTTGCTAGAACGCCAAGTTATAGTTTTTTAGAATTTTTATCCGCAAATCGGATGTATTTACAAAATAAATTGGTTTCAAGTATAAATTAATGCAAGTTCTTGAATGGATAGAGATGAAGATTGAGAGATAACTTACACTTCTGATTCACTTACGGTGAGAGGTAGCTTGCACACTTCTGATTCACTTTTGAGGCAATTGTTCTCCTATCAATATTGCTAAAATGAGAGTATGAGAAGAAAGGTTTTTGGTTTCAATTGAATTGATTTCTTTGTATCACTTACGGCAGAATTTATACAAGGAAAAGTCTTGCTAGCTGGTTTTGGGTTCCCAATTCCTGGAGATTGCAGAAACAGCCTCCCAAAGTCAAGCCAGATATATTAATATTTTCTCACTCACTAGCTAACAATCAACTAGCTAACACTCAACTAGCCATATTAAGTTTGACCAAAAAAAAAAAAAAAAAAGCCATATTGGGAAATAAAAAGGCAATACACATGCAATACCTTACCAATATGCTATCTCTAAACCTTAGATTCTTTGTTAATATCACAGATGTTCAAGTATAAGATAAAGGTGAGTGATGCACGTAGAGCATGGATGAAGAGTCCTGAAATGTTGGAGAATTGCTCGACAGGTTTTCATTTCCCTTCCCAATACGAAGAAGGAATCCAAGTTTCTGTAGGTTTCTCCACCAGATTTCCTTGTTAATTGAGGATAACACTGATGATAACAAACTCAAGTTTGCCTTTGTGATTTTGATGCTAGGAAAAGGTGAAACCATTAAAGTTGCTGCATTTCTACAGAGCAGATTAATAGAGTTGGCTTCAAGAACAGTGGGAACCATGCGGTCGGTTGTTTTAGCTTCTCACCGTAGCATGTATGTACTTCTAACGTGCACCTTCTTGTTGTATATGACTGGCTCATGAGTAGGACTTCGGAGTGGACAGGCATAGGTTGTATGGGGCTGTTAGCTTTTGTGGATAGTTTGGATTAGTTTGCTTGATGAGATATATTTGTACATACCTGTTGC